CTATGTGGCATGAATGAGGATTGAACACATAGGTTGTGTACTGCAGTGTACGTAGTTCAGTTGTCTACTATATTCCTTCATGTGACCACTGCCTGTGTCCCACTGCCTGTGTCCACCTGCCTGTGTCCCACTGCCTGTGTCCTCCTGCCTGTGTCCTCCTGCCTGTGTCCTCCTGCCTGTGTCCCACTGCCTGTGTCCCGCCTGTGTCCTCCTGCCTGTGTCCTCCTGCCTGTGTCCTCCTGCCTGTGTCCCCACACATCATTGGAGTTATGGTCTATTGCGTGGTAAAAAGGTCGTGGCGATAAAAAAGTGTTCATTCTAAAACACATTTCTTGTAGATTCTAACAGATTTTGCGACTGTAAAGTGTCAATGGTAAGCTGTGCCGTAAGCTATTATGCGCATGTAAAATGTGTGCGAGAAGCGGGAAGCGCTGCGAACGATCCCATTTTCAGCGGAGATTTATATTTTATAAAAATTTATGAAGAATAAGTTTTTGATTTAGCCTCAATTGTTGTGGGAAAATACGACTAAGTTAAAACAAAATGGTACATACTTCTATGCAAAATATGAGTGACACTGATTCACCCGTTTAATATTTGAGGAAAAGTTGCGCCACGAATTTTCGACAGCACTATAAGAATATTATAATAATTTGATTCTTGAACATTTCTCAGCACGTCTAACCGGCATCTGTGGTGCAGTAGTTGGGCGCTTCCCTACACATGTAAAAGACCCGAGTTCAATCCTCGTTTGGGGAGGATTGTTACCGAGTTGTTGGGTTGTTGTTTTTCCTGCGATGGGACGTTGTATCCCTCTCAGCTGACCCTGGGTTGTCCCTGACAAGCAAGGTCAAAGGCCATCCCCTAAATGATTTAACTTGTGTGGACAAGGGTGGAAAAACACCCACATGACCACTAGAAACAGTTTCTTCTCAGCACGCTAGTACATCTTTTCATTGAACATTTCTTCATGGATTTCTTGCCACCTGCCCTCCTTCTTCTAGCATGCAAGCTGTACGGCTTTGTGTTGTAGAATGGGAGATCCATATTCAAAAACATAATATTTCCTTCACATATCGCTCAACGTCTTTTTCTGCACTCCCCTCACCCGCCCCCGACGTTCTACACACACACACACACACACACACACACACACACACACACACACACACACACACACTGCAGACACACACACACACTGCACACATACACACAACACACACACTCACGTACACACACACATACACACACACACACACTGCAGACACACACATACACACT